GTCTCCTGCAGGGCATTTGAGTTCTGTTGCCTTTCTGGACTGAGAAAGAGAGGGAACTTCTTTAGTCCTGACACTGGGGCTGTTTTGGTGGAGGACATTACATAGGGTTCACACCAGGCCTGATTGGGTTATGATTCATCATGTAACAACTGTCCCTGGCTCACCCCTTACAGCAGGAATAATTGGAAAATAACTCTCTATAGCAGTGGTCCCCAAACTTTTGAGGATCACACCCCACCTTACCCCATCCATGCCCCTCCCTCTGAGCCGGGGCCGGGAGCGGGGCTCGGGGCCGGGGGAAAGGACACGGGCAGGGGTAAGGGGGCTGAGGTTGGGGCCATAGATGGCTTGGGTCTGGGGACAGGAGCAGGGCCAGAGCCATGGCCGGGGTTGAGGCTCGGGGTGGGATTGGAGCAGCAGCCGGGCTGTGGTGGGGGCCAGCAGCCAAGCCCATGGCCATGAGCGACTCCACTCCCAGCCTTGCTCCTGCCCCCAGCCTTGGCCCTGGGCCAGGACTGGAGCCGCAAGGGGCTGGGGCTGGGGCTGGGAGTGGAGCCATTCTGAAGCTGGGGATGATGCTAGACATGGGGCTGGAAGTTAGGGATGTGGCTATGGGTGGGACCGGAGCAGAGTTCAGAGTGGGGAGGGGCTGGGTGGTGCTCCCTTTCTGCCCCCCATGGGGGCTGACCTGGGACCTCTCATGTCCCTCCAAAGGATCCTCTGTGTCCCCATAGGGGGGCGCTCCCCACAGTTTGGGGACCTCTGCCCTATAGATAGCAGAGTTCAGGGAAACAGCATGAGATGGTGCCTTCTTTGATAAAATGATGAACTTGCTAGAGTGCATGTGGGTATTTGTGGGCGGGTGTGTGAATGCCTTTTAATGGCTCAAATCGGAACTGCACAATTGTGTGTCATAGACCCTACAGTGCTCAGAGTTAAGGGAATTACCACTGTAGCTCTGGGATCGGGGGCTTGTGCTATTGGAGCTGGAGGAACTCGCTTGTATTTCCACTGCCAATGGGAAGTCCCAAATGGCTGTTATATGCAGCACAATGAGAGCCATGAACCCTTTGGTGAGTTCAGGTTTATTACTGTCTATTAGAGATGTGTGACAAAAGAAACAGTATTGTCCCCATGATCCAGTGAGGATGATGATGATGGGGTGTTTTTGTTTCCAGGCAAAGAAAGAGGAGGAAGAGACTCGCTGCGTTCACTGGAAATTCATCGCTGGGAAAGGCATCTGGGCTGAGGATGGCTGCACCGTTCTCCATACGAACAGCACTCACGCCATCTGCAGCTGTGACCATCTCTCCAGCTTCGCACTCCTTATGGGTCACACCGGAGTGGAGGTATCTCACTGTGAGACTCAGATCAAAGGGCTGGACTCTGAGCTCCTGACCTGGGCAACATCAGTGGGAATTTTGCCTGACTGAACGCTGCATAGGAACCTCAGGGTATAATCTGTTGCCACACAGGATGGGTCAGGGTCAAGGGGGCTGGGCTGGGATTGTGATCTGAGGTGCCTAGAGTAGTCCACACTGACAATGCCAAGGTCAGGGCAGGCTATAAAAAGGAGAGCAGATTCCCCCAAAACTGGTGGTTAACATTGTAGTTAGAATCACCAGGGCCGGATTAACTTTTTGTGGGCCCGCATGGGGAATGAAGGGGCCAGGGGCAAGAGCACAGCGGGCAGGGTGGATTTGATTTAAATCATGATTTAAATCACTAGTCAGGAAGACTCGATTTAATCATGGTTTTCTACATAAAAGTGCACTCTTGTTGGTTCTTATAGCCTTAATACATATTCTTCACAACTCAGAGATAGACTAGGTTTTATTTTTAGAAGGTACACACTATACATTTTTAAACAATGATTTATTTTGAAAACTTTTCAGATGAGTTTTACAGCTATATCAGAAAATGAATGATTGTTTGGTTATTTCATTTACCAAAATTGAAGCAGATATTTATGAAGTCATTGGGAGGTGAACTACAGTATCTCCAGTTCAACAGGCTAATCATTAATATTTGGAGGATTTTCTTGCCAGGCTGTATTAGGAGGAGAACATCACCAGACAGACATTTAAATTGTTTTATTTAACTAAAACAACAACATTAAGTAGTCTGGATTTTTTTCTTCAACAGCAAACATCATATTTTAGTAAAAAAGCATATGTCCCTCGCTTCTCACATTTATCTGCAGACTTCTTCTCCTTGTCCAGATCTATCCTGCTCCCAACAATCTTCCATTCATTGAACTCTTTGAAACTTTTCACTTTTAAAGAGAGGTAAGGGATTGACTCTGTGTACACAAATTTGCAGAGGGACAGTAGATTTGAGGTCTGTTATTTCTCACCTCTATATATTATTTTTTATTTAATTTTTTTTGCTGTTAACAAGCATGTTACCCCTGGCTACACAAATCCACAGTTTGAGAACTGCAAAACTAAGCATCTCTGATGGTATCTTCTTGACTGCGCACTGAGTCCCATTGGGTAGATAGAAAGATTAACCTAAATAATCTATACAGAAGCCTGTGGAACCCCATAAAATTGGGTCCCTAATCCATGAACTATTAGAACTTATTTACAAAACTTTTCTTAAACATTACATGAATATATTGTCTCATACTATAGAATTAGAATTTATAATCCCTATTACATTATCTCTCATCATGGATTTTAATTAAAACTATCTTTAGCTGGTTTTTTCCCTCAAAAATCTGATTTAAATAAAAAAATCCGATTTTTTTTTTTTAAAAGTCATTGATTTTTATTCACCCTGACAGCGGGGAATGGTGCGGGGGAAGGATTGGTCCCCAGCTGGAGTGAGGCAGGAACCAGGGGCAACATGAGCACAGTGGGGCATGGGGGGGAGGATTAGTCCCTGCTGATTGGAGCAAGGCAGGGGCTGGGGGCAAAAGCACAGTGGGGTGGGAGCTAGGGTTGGTCCCTGGAGCAAGGGAGGGGGCCGAGGGTAAACTGCAAGTGCAGCAGGGCTGGGGAGGGGGTAAACAGGATCACCCCCACCCCTGCCCACATAGAGCAGGTACCTACCTTCTTCCTGGTTCTAGCCCATTCTCTTCATCTCTCTCTGCACTGAGCTGAGGGTCAGGGTGCACTGGCACAGGGCTGGGGGTGCAGGGTCAGGTCTAGTAGGGAGTTAGGGTGCAGGAGCAGGATGGGGGTTGGGGTACAGGGTCTGGCTAGGAGCTAGGGTGAGGGACGGGGCACAGGTTGGGGCAGGAGTTTGGGGTGTGGAGCGCTTACCTGGGGCAGCTCCCATTTGGTGCGAGAGGTGCAGATGGGAATGCGGGGGGAGGTGCAGGAGCTCCCATTTGGTGCTCAGTTTGGGGGTGTGTATGTGTGGGTGGTTCAGGAGTCAGGACTGGGGGCGTGTGAGGGGTGCAGGAGTCATGGCAGGGGTCATGGAGGTGTGTGGGGGTGCAGAGGTCAGGGTAGAAGGCTGTGTGTGTGTGAGGGGGTGCAGGAGTCAGGGCAGGGGTCGTGGGGGGCATGGGGGGTGCAGGAGCCAGGGCAGAGGGCTGAGTGTGTGTGAGGGGGTGCAGGAGTCAGGGCAGGGGGCTGTGGGAGTGTGAGGGGGTGCAGGAGTCAGGGCTGGGATCATAGGGGTGTGGGGGGGGTACAGTAGTTAGGGCAGGGGACTATGGGAGTGTGTGGGGGTGCAGGAGTCATGGCAGAGAGCTGGGGCTGTGGGCTGGAGTTGTGGGGGTGCTCCCAGCCCCCTGCCCTTAGCGGCTCAAGGCAGGGGGCTGGAGGGGCTATGCCCTGATTCCACCCCCTTCCCTAAGGCCCTGCCCTGCCTCTTCCCCCAGCAGCGAGCACGCTGTGGCTCCACTCCTCCCCCTCCCTCACAAGGGCAATCAGCTGATCGGCAGCAGGGAGAGGGGGAGGGGCAGGAACATAGCATGCTCAAGGGAAGAGGCAGGGGAGGGGGAGCTTGGTTGCTGGCAGAGCCTGCCCTGCTGCAGGAGCCGGCAGGACCCAGCTTCTGCCCACTGCCCCGCGGGCGAGAGCGGGGGGCAGAGAAGAGCGGGCCAGGCCAGGGCCCCTTTGGACCGTGGGCCCGGCCCCATGGTAAATCTGGTACTGAGAATCACCAACCAGTCACAATTTGTGCTCTGGATCCCCCACACTGGTTATCGAGAAGCTGGAAAAAAGAAATCACACAACCCCCTTTATTGAATTCCGGTCTCTGGCTCCCAATCAGCAGGTAGGTCCAGTAAAGTGAGAAGTCACTTAAAACTCTATTCACCTAACAAAATGTTCTTCTGATCCCCTGTCATAAATATAAAAGGAAGGGTAACAACATTTATGCAGTAACATAAAATCTCTCCTCACCAGAGGTACAGACAGAGGTAGAGAATCATTTTACCTATAAGGGGTTAATCAGTTCAATTAACCTAGTTGGCACCTGACCAGAAGGACCAATGGAAAAAGAAGATACTTTCAAATCTGGGGGTTGGGGAGAGGAGGTTTTGTTTGTGCTCTTTTTGTTTGTTCTGTCTGGATAGAGAGCCCAAGCAGGTAAACCATCTCTTGAAAAGATACCTTGAAATGATACATCTAAAATTACAGAAATTGTAAGTAAAGGCAAGGAAATGCATTAGATTATCTTTTGTTTTAGCTTGTGAATTTTCCCTATGCTAAGAGGGAGGTTTATTCCTGGTTTTGTAACTTTGAAGTTGAGCCTAGAGGGGAATCCTCTGTATTTTAAATCTTTTTATCACCCTATAAAATTACCTTCCATCCTGATTTTGCAGGTGTGATTCTTTTACTTTTTTCTTTATAATAAAGTTCTTCTTTTAAAAACCTGATTGATTTTAGTGTCCTAAAAATAAAGGGTCTGGTCTGTACTTTTATTAAAGGCAATTGGTTGGTATATTATTCTCAAGCCTCCCCAGGAAAGGGGGTGAAGGGGCTTGGGTGGATATTTTGGGGAAATAGGAACTCCAAGTGGTCCTTTTTCCTAACTCTTTGTCTAAATCACTTGGTGGTGGCAGCAATACTATCCAAGGACAAGGAAATGATTTGTGCCTTGGGGAAGTGTGCCTGCTAGAAATAAGCTTAGGGGGGCTTTCATGCGGGTAAAATGATTCTGCACCTCTGGCCTGGAAGGATTTTATGTTACTGCATACATAAAGGTTGTTATCCTTCCCATTATATTTATGATATCCCCAAAGGGGAAGCCACATTGCCAGGTCAATATTAGGTTGGAGCTTACCCAAAACACTACTTTGCCAGCCAATCCTTTAGTATCTAAAACTCAAGGTTTTATTATATAGGAAAAGAAAAGAAAGAGAAGAGAGCTGTTAAATGATCAAAGCAATCTGATACATGTGACTTCAAGGTCCATATATCAGGTTTTTAGCAGCATTGGTGAGTTTGCTGCCTTGTAAAGTCCCTCTGGAACACACCCAAAGCTTAGAGGAATCTATCAGACCTTTGTTCAAAGCTTCAGTTTGTAGAGAAGTTACTGGAGAGGTGAGAAGCAGGACTGAAGACAAAATGGAGGTGATGCAGCTGCCTTTTTATATCCTTGTCCACGTGGCTTGTACTTCCTCTGTCCCAAACACAAGCTCACAGCACATGGGCATGGAAAGGTACTTAGAGTCCCCTGTCTATAGGCATGTCCCTACATGTCCTGCTGACTCATGGGCATAGCACCTGGCTTCTCTCAATGGGTTCATTGTATAACTCAGCAGTTCTCAAACTTCAGCAACCCGAGGACCCCCATTTTTATTTAAAATTTTTCGCAGACCCCAAACCATCCGCTCAGCCCGAGGCCCCACCCCCATTCCATCCATTTCCCCCAAGGCCCCACCCTACCTCTTCCCGCCCCAGCTCCACCCATGCTCCTCCTCTTCCCTGCTTCTTTCCACTGCCTCCCCTGAGCACCCCCATCCCCGCTCCTCCCCCTCCCTCCCAGCACCTCCACTGAACAGCTGTTCCCCAGCATGCAGAAGGCACTGGGAGGGAGGTGGAGGACTTGGTCAGCGGAGCCTGTGGATCCCCTGGAGTGCCCTCGTGGACCCCAGTTTGAGAAACGCTGGTATAGCTGATTACCCTCGATGGGCCATCAAACAGACTGGATAGTGCTGATGTCAGTCTCTCTGGGGGTGTCACCCCAGAAACACAGCACAGATATATCACATACATTTATAACTGACGATGCAAAGATGATACATACATAAAAACAAGATTCTCATACTTAGCAAATCATAATTTTTCAAGTCATATCTTACATGGCATATCTTGTAAGCTTCATTACGATTTTGTAATATTGGTATCCATAATATTACAAATGGTCACCCATATTCCATATAGTGTCACAGGGCTCACTGGTGAGTCTCCCTTTGCTGTGTTACAGGAGAGTTACCCACTGACCATCGTCACCTACATGGGACTGACCCTCTCCCTGCTGTGCCTCCTCCTCGCCATCCTCACCTTCCTCCTGTGCCGCTCCATCTGGAACGTCAGCACCTCCCTCCACCTGCAGCTCTGCCTCTGCCTCTTCCTGGCCGACCTGCTCTTCCTCACCGCAGTGACGCGCACCAGCAGTCAGGTCTGTTATCCACTTTTATTCTTGGTTGAAAATTGAGCTGTGTCCAGATCCTCTGTCAGCATTTCTAAAGCTCCCCTCACCCCAGCACCTTTTTATACCCTCAGCTGGATGGTAACATTTATTCCATGCTCTTTAGTCCCGCAGAAATAATTATTTACTCCCCATCCAAAAGAAATCTCTGTGGGTGAAACCAGTCCTTCCCTTTTCCTTGTGGGCTCCATCCTTCATCATTCAGACAAAGAAACCCTAATTTCCAGAGTCCTCACTGCCCCCACACTGATGAGCAGATGCAAGACACCTATACCCTGAAGCAGATATAGAAAAGAGAACCTACACCCTCCACGTCTCTCCCTATTATGAGGACCAGGAACTTGTTTATATCCCTGCTTCCTTTCCTAGGATTCCTCACAGTATCCAACAATTTCCATGATTTATTTGGGAACTACAACCCCCAGAAACCATCTTTTCTGAGTGGAGATCAGGACCGGGCTGGACTCTGAATGATTGAAAGGGCCAGCCAGCTTGCCCTTAGACAAGCCCCCCTTAGACTGAAGAACGTATTGTCTCTGGGCGAGCTCTGTAACTGGAGAGATGTGTTAATAAAAAGCCCTATGTGATCCTCACAAAAGTTCCCCCACCTCGAAATTCAGTATTTCCTTTCCCAGAAGCGAAGTCCCAGAGCTCTCTTTCATCCTATCCTCAGGTGGTGTGTGCTGTTATTGCTGGCTTCCTACACTACCTCTTCCTGGCCTGCTTCACCTGGATGTTCCTGGAGGGGCTGCACCTCTTTCTCACTGTCAGGAACCTGAAGGTTGTGAATTACACCAGTGCCAATCGGTTTAAGAAGAGATTCATGTACCCGTTCGGCTACGGATTCCCAGCCCTGGTGGTGGCTATTTCAGCAGCGGTGGATCACAAAGGCTACGGAACTTCCAAACAGTATGTGCAGCGCCCATCCCGAAGGGGAACTGGGATGTGGCTTCCATGCGTTTGTCCGGCTCACCCCAGGTCTGACTTGAACCTAGATTTCCCTGCTCAGCCTCCCTGGGAGCTGAATGTCCCCCTGGGACCCTTCCCATCCCCAAGGACACTAAGCTGCCCCGAGTGCTTTAGTTGAGATGCGCACCTGTCAGACATCTACACGCCTCGCCCCACTGATGATGTGGAAGAACAAGCCAGAAAGATCCCAGCTTGACTCTCAGCTCCCAGGCTGGGTTTGTGGTACTGGTGGGTAGGAAACAAATGCACCTTCTTACTGTGTGCAAATCCCTGATTCCCCTCTCTAAAGTGAGTGATTCCACTAAAACAGGGTGTGGCATGTTCTAGACACCCCAGGCTAGATCCTCAGCTGGTGTAAATCAGGGCAGCTCCACTTCCTTCAGTGCAGCTAGGCCAATGCCCATCCGCTTCATGTCTGGCCCTCCATCAATACTGCGCCCATCCACCAGAAAGAGTCATTTGAGGAGGTGGAAGAGGAAGTGGTGGCTGAAAGCAGGAGGTGCTGAGGTAGATGGGGAGGGCTGTTTGCTTGCTGTCTGCAAGAGACCATGTCACCAGCAGGCTGAGATCCATCTCGCTTTTGAGAGCCAGCTGCCCTGTGACACCCCCTTTCTGCCCCTGGGGCTGAAAAAGGGTAGATATTCCATTAAAGTTACCTTCTTCTTCCTCCCTCCCCTGTAGCTGCTGGCTCAGCCTGGAGAGAGGATTTCATTGGAGCTTCCTGGGTCCAGTCTGTGCCATAATCCTGGTGGGTACCTCACAGAACCACAGGGCTCCATTCTCCTCTCACCTCTGCAACTCTGTGGACTCCAGTGGAGCCAAGAGAAGAATATCTCCCAGAGAATTTAAGATGAAAGAGTCCTATAAGATCCCATTTCATCAATCCCTCTTTGGCCAGTGCAGGATTTCCCCCTAACACAACAGCCTACATTCTATGGAGTCAGTCAGGGCGAATGGGTCGGGCACTGGGTTGTGAGTCAGGAGACCTGACTCTGCCACTGGCCTGCTGTGTTAACTTGGGAAGTAGCTTCCCCTTGCTGTACCTCTGTTTCTCCTCCCACCCTTTGTCTATCTTGCCCATAGGCACTGAAAAAACTTAGTGGATGCTCAGCACCCACTGGCAGCCAGCTCCCCCACTCATCCCCCCCCCGTGCCTCCCGTCCACTGGCAGCCGCGCCGATCAACTCTTCCCCCTCCATCCCATCACCTCCCGCTTGCCGCAGTCAGCTGTTCTGTGGTGTGCAGGATGCGCTGGGATGAAGGGGGTAGAACTGTGTGGGAAGAGGTGGGGCGGGGTGGGAAGAGGTGGGAGCTTGGAGAAGGGGTGGGTGAGGGCGAGGCTTGGGGCCAAGCAGGGGTGGGAAGAGGTGGTGTGGGGGCTTGGGAGAAGGGGTTGGGTGGGAGTGAGGCCTGGGGCAGAGTGGGGGGATTGAGCGGCCCGGGGCCCGGGGGAAGCCGGTGCCTAGTTATTTTGCAAACAAATGCTCCAAGACATGGGCTTCCCCTTTCTAGGTGTGAGTACAGAACCCAGTGCAGTCTCATTGGAGCCTCTAGGTGCTACCATAATATGATTAATTATAATATGTCATTACTCATGCAATGCTAGAATGGAAGCAAGTGGAACCTCTGCCGGAATGAGGATAGTTTTGTCCCTTGCCTTGTCCAGCCTGGCTGGTAAATAACCCAAGTGATGGGGGAAGGGAAGGTGGCTGCAGTGTCGGGAGTTTGAGGATGGAAGGGTACATGAGTTGCAAGAGATAAAGGTAGCAAATGTCCTTGCAGATTCCTCGCCATCTCAGGCAGCGGGTTAAGAATTAATTTCAGCCTCAGAATTGAAGGGAATACTCTGTAGACAGGATCTAGAAGCTTTGGCCAAATCACACGGCTCTAAATCTGGAATAACTGCAGACCCCATTGGAATCAGTGGAGTCACTCCAGATTCAGATAAGAGCAGAATATGGCCCTCTGGCTGTATGATCACATGTGATGCATTGTAGCCCTGCCTATGCCAACAGTTCTCTGCATGGCCTGGGACCAAGATCTGGCAGGGAATGGTTATGACCCACCTTGATGAGCAGTCACTGCTCTGCAGCAGTCTGATCCCATAGGATTGTTCCATGCCTCAGCCAGAGAGACTGGCCTTGGCTGGCATGTTTTACAAGGAATATTTCATGCTGTTTCCACAGATAAATTTAACATTTTTTCTTGTAACCCTCTGGATCCTGAGGGACAAACTCTCCTCCCTTAATGAAGATGTGTCCACTCTCAAAGACACCAGGTAGGACAGTACTAAATCTACTAGAACAGGGGCGGGCAAACTTTTTGTCTTGAGGGCCACATCCGGGTGCGGAAATTGCATGCAGGGCCATGAGTGTAGGGCTGGGGCAGGGGGTTGGGGTACAGGAGGGAGAGCAGGGTGTGGGAGGGGGTGAGGTGTGCAGGAAGGGGCTCAGGGCAAGGAATTGGGGTGGAGGAGTGGTGCGGGATGTACGAGGGGGCTCAGGGCAGGGGGTTGGTGTGCAGGAGGGAGTGCAGAGTGTGGGAGAGGGCTCAGGGAAAGAGGCTGAGGTACGGGGTGCAGGAGAGGTTTGGGGTGCAGGCTCCGGCCTGGTGTCGCTTACCTGGGCAGGGGGTTGGGGTGCAGGAGGGAATGCAGGAGGGGGTTCAGGGCAGCTATTTTGGGGCTCAGGGAAAGGGGTTGGGGTGCAGGAGGGGGCTCAAAAATGGGGTTGGGGTGCAGGAGGTGTGCGGGATGCAGCAGGGGCTCAGGGAATGGGGTTGGGTGCAGGAGAGGTTTGGGGTGCAGGCTTCGGCCCGGCGCCACTTACCTGGAGCGGTTCCGTGGTGACAGCGGCGCGCAGTGGTGCTCAGGCAGGCTGCAGAGGGGGGCAGAGGGCTTCCCGTTCCTGGCCAATGGGAGCTGTGGGGGGGGAGCTGCAGGCGAGGGCAGCGCAAGGAGCCCTCTATGCCCCCTTCACTCAGGGGCTGCAATCCGTTTGAGTGGCAATCCTGAGGGCCAGATCCAAAGCCGGATCCGACCCACGGGCCATAGTTTGCCCACCCCTGTATTAGAAGGATCCAGTGAGCCTCCTGTATGGGAATTCCTGTGGGAATTGCTGCCACCATACAACTGAGCACATGCCACTGTAGGGCTTCCAGGTTATCTTGACGACCTTCTGCTTGATGAGAGAGTAACAGTCTCACTGCCCAAGGAGCTGATAAACCCTAACTCACATCAGCAGTCCCTTACTCGTGAGTCCTAAAGTTGTCCATGGGACCATCTGCCAAAATAAGGACAATTTGCATGAATAAGGGTATGCTGTATCAGACACAGCACAGCCAGGGATCTGTGGCAATTGAAGGGTCAGGTTAGGAGAGAGGAGAGGTCTATGGCAGTAAAGGATCATCATGGGAGTTACTTTTCTGCCATGTGCATCATGTTGATCCCTGGATGGATATTGAGATGACAGATGCAGTCTGTTCCAAAGCCCGCTGAAGTCTGTGGAAGTAATGGTACGGAAGAGACTGCTAGATCAGTGAGGCTCTTGCAGTAAGTCCTGCAGCACATTCAGATTGTGGCATGCAAATGGTCTTTAAAGCAGCTCATTATGAAATCTGTTTGTTAGGGAGGAACAAGATCAGGGCTGCCAACTGGGAGTGCTGGATGGAGACATGAGAGGAGAAAAAGATTTTGGAACCAGATCAGAATGTTGAGGCTTCAGAAAGCCATGGTGTTACTTAGGGTACGTCTTCACTACCCGCCGTATCGGCGGGTAGCAATCGATTTATCCGGGATCGATATATCGCGTCTCGTTAAAACGCGATATATCAATCCCCGAACGTGCTCACCGTCGACTCTGGAACTCCACCAGAGCGAGCGGCGGTAGCGCAGTCAACGGGGGAGCCGCGGCCATCAATCCCGCGCCGTCTGGACCCCAGGTAATTCGATCCAAGATACTTCAACTACAGATACGCTATTCGCGTAGCTGAAGTTGCGTATCTTGTATCCTTCCCCGCCCGCACTGTAGACCAGCCCTTAGTGCACGTGCCTGGTGCTGTGTAAGGAGAAATGCAAGTCTGTGCTGATATTCAGAGCTGGGCCATGTGCTACTTAGGGAGGAAACTCATCTCTTTTCCCTGGGGCTGTGCATACTGTCGAGGTAAAGTGCCATCCATTGAGGAGGAAGGCAAGTGTGGCTTACTGTTGCTTTGTAGCAACCCCTCTGTCTATTTATGGAACAACATAGATGGGTTCCTGAGAGCCCAATATCCTGTTCCCACTTGATTGTCACATTGCCAAGGCCTGATGTGAAGGGATTAAAAACAAAACCGAAATGAGAGGTTGAACCATTTGCTTTGAAAGAGCCACCTGTGGGAGGGGAAGGTGTATGTGTGGGGGGAGATGGTTGGGCACAATATTGTATTTTGGATTCATAGGCGTAAGTTGCCATTGTGTTCATCTTGACAGTAAACCTAAGACACAGTAAAGCACCAGAGCCCTGTGTAATAAACATACAGCTAAGGGTATCATAAAATCCCCCCCGAGTAGCTGTACTGGATTGCCTTACCTGCAAGGGGTTAATCAGTTCAATTAATCTAGTTGGCACCAGACCAGCAGGACCAATGGGGAAAGAAGATACTTTCAAATCTGGGGCGGGGAGTTTTTGTTTGTTCCCTCTTTGGGGGGAGAAAGAGACCAGGGCAGGAAAAAAACATCCCCTGAAAACATCCCTGAAATGATCCATCCAAGATTACAAAAATTGTAAGTAAGGGCAAGGAAATGCATTAGATTATCTTTTGTTTTAGCTTGTGAATTTTCCCTTTGCTAAGAGGTAGTTTTATTCCTGTTTTTTGTAAATGTGAAGTTGAGCCCAGAGGGGAATCCTCTGTGTTTGAAATCATTTATTACCCTGTAAAGTTACCTTCCATCCTGATTTTGCAGGTGTGATGTTTTACTTTTTTCTTTATAATAAAGTTCTTCTTTTAAGAACCTGATAGATTTTTAGTGTCCTAGAAACCAAAGGGTTTGGTCTGTGCTCACTTTGTTAACTTATCAGTTGGTATATTAGTCTCAAGCCTCCCCAGGAAAGGGGGTGAAGGGGTTTGGGTGGATATTTTGGGGGGATAGGGCTCCAAGTGGCCCCTCCCTGAATTTTTGTTTAAATCACTTGGTGGTGGCAGCAATACCATCCAAGGACAAAGAAAGGAATTTGTGCCTTGGGGAAGTTTTTAACCTAAACTGGTGGAATATAAGATTAGGGGGTCTTTCATGCGGGTTCCCAAATCTGTACCCCAGAGTTCAGAGTGGGGAGGAAACCCTGACAGCCCCCTGACTCAGTCACTCAGGACTCAGTCGTTATAACAGGATCTCTCCGTCTGCCTTTATCCAGACTACTGAC